GTACAGCCATACAAGCTCAGTGTTTTCTAGCAAAATCCGGCTCGGGAAATCCCTTCGTGCCCTTTTCACTGATAAGACGCAAAGAGGTCACAAAGCTACAAACGACAGGGCCAGGCCTGGACTCTCATCTCAGCCCGCTTGACTCTCCCCATCAAGCCAGCCACCTGGTTCAAACCCCAGCTCTACCACGCACTAGCAGTGTGACCTTGGGCCAGTCATTCACCTTTTCTGCACTTCATCTTTAAAACGGGATGGTGACAGCATCCAGCTCACAGGACACTGCGAGAATTGGTGAGTTATGTCTGTCAAGCCCCTGGAACAGTGTGGGCACATGGCAAGTGCTTTAGGAAAGTTATCAGCCACCGTCATCATCATTATTATTATTAGGTCTCTGTAGCTTAGCTTTCCATATAGAACCCACTGAACCCTCATGACTTACTGTTTAAATGTCTTAGAGCAGCGATTTTCAACCGGTGTGCTGCAGGATTTTTTTAAACCAGCAATACCTGACTATTTTAGTCAGGGGCACTGACCTCTTTTCTCTCTGGTTGTCAAATAAAAAAATGACAACAGCCACCACAACAATAGCCATCCAGTGTGAATGAATCAAAATTATACCTATTTTTTTGTCAGCTCGGCAAAAAAAATATATATTTTTGGTGTGCTGCAGAGTTTTAGTCATTAGTTTATGTGTGCCATGAGATGGAAAGATTGAAAATAGATACATTTTAACTGCTGTATGGATTTTAGGGCAGCATCAAACCCTGAGGTCCTGATCAGCCACTCCATCCACATGAGCTCAGCTCCCCACTGGGCACACGGACAGGGTGCTGCTGGTTCTATGGACCTCATACAGTTAGGTGACGGCACACGGAATGTGTGCAAATGCTTACAAAGAAAGAAAGAAGAGGAGGTGACATTTACGGAGACACCACACAGGTGCTGGTTGACTTACAACAATCAATGTAACCTTCCCCCAAACCTTGTGTGGACGCCCCACAAAGACAGCATAGCTACCCACTTAAATTTCAGTTAAAGAATGAAGAAAGTGCCACACGACAGCAACAGGGTATGAAAATGTTCCTTGCTCACATGGGCTTTCTGGGGACAGCAGGTAGCTCCCAGACAGGTCCACGCTGCCTTGAGAGAGCAGGGAAGGACACTGTTCCGGGGGTGTCTTACTGCAGGTGCAGGGAGGGGGTCTTACTGCAGGTGCGGGGAGGGGGTCTTACTGCAAGTTCGGGGAGGGGGTCTTACTGCAGGTGCCAGGAGGGAGTCTTACTGCAGGTGCAGGGAGGGGGTCTTACTGCAAGTTCAGGGAGGGGGTCTTACTGCAGGTGCAGGGAGGGGGGTCTTACTGCAGGTGCAGGGAGGGGGTCTTACTGCAGGTTCGGGGAGGGGGTCTTACTGCAAGTTCGGGGAGGGGGTCTTACTGCAGGTGCAGGGAGGGGGTCTTACTGCAAGTTCGGGGAGGGGGGTCTTACTGCAGGTGCAGGGAGGGGGTCTTACTGCAGGTGCCAGGAGGGGGTCTTACTGCAAGTTCGGGGAGGGGGTCTTACTGCAGGTGCAGGGAGGGGGTCTTACTGCAGGTGCCAGGAGGGGGTCTTACTGCAAGTTCGGGGAGGGGGTCTTACTGCAGGTGCAGGGAGGGGGTCTTACTGCAAGTTTGGGGAGGGGGTCTTACTGCAGGTGCAGGGAGGGGGTCTTACTGCAGGTGCAGGGAGGGGGTCTTACTGCAGGTGTGGGGAGGGGGTCTTACTGCAGGTGCAGGGAGGGGGTCTTACTGCAAGTTCAGGGAGGGGGTCTTACTGCAGGTGCAGGGAGGGGGTCTTACTGCAGGTGCAGGGAGGGGGTCTTACTGCAGGTGCAGGGAGGGGGTCTTACTGCAGGTGCGGGGAGGGGGTCTTACTGCAGGTGTGGGGAGGGGGTCTTACTGCAGGTGTGGGGAGGGGGTCTTACTGCAAGTTCGGGGAGGGAGTCTTACTGCAAGTTCGGGGAGGGGGTCTTACTGCAGGTGCAGGGAGGGGGTCTTACTGCAGGTGGGGGGAGGGGTCTTACTGCAGGTGTGGGGAGGGACAGTACAGCATGGCCTGGGGCTTACATAGCATGAACCTCTTACCAGCACCGAAGGAAAGAGTACCAGGCTGTGGATCAGCTTGCCTAGATGTGGGGCAGAAGGGGAAGAGGCAGGGGTGAGGCTTAAAAGCTGTCAGCAGTCAATCAAAACCCGAATCAGACTCTTATTACAAACCCTGGGAGGTAGATCCCACCTTGGAGACGAGGAAACAGGACTCAGTCAGGTTAGATCACCTGTCACAGCAGGTTTAAGTTTGGCCCTTCAACTTCAAATCCACACAGCCTCCCTTCACCCCCGTTTCAAGATCCTGTGCGGCCCTGTCACCAGGTGATATAAGAAGCAGTGGCTGGCCCCACGGGCTTGCCCAGCATCAATCAGCCAACCACAGAAAAGCTGGAGACAGCTGTAATCCATTCTAATCCCAATTAGTGGTTTATGATTGCCCTAACTTTCTTCACAGGAGAGAGAGAGAGAGAGGGTAGGAAGGGGGGGGAGGGGGGAGGGAAAAGGAAGAAAGGAAGAAAGGAAGATTTCAGTTTGTAATGTTTCCATTGCTGACATTATTACCTTCCCAGCTGGGGGAGGGTGACACTTGGTTTAAAGGATCCTCTTCACACACAGGTAAAATTCCATTTCTGGTTTTTCCAGTGAGCATTAGGTTCTATTTCAGCAGCCACACTCTTAGCAATGGCTAGCATCCATTTCTCTTATCTGTAATTGAGCTCTGTGGGGATTTTTTTTCTCTGTTTAATATCTTTATTGAGATTGCCCCTTTATTTCCCCAAAGAAAATTCTAAGTCTCAAGCATTACTGCAAAATCATAAAAGATTAAATTAAAATGATCGGGAATAAATCTTTCATGGGTTACGAGGCTCCGAATCCTCTCAGTTAAGTTCTTCTGGGTAACCAAGCCGGATCAGGTTCCAAATTTGCTAAGTTTTCCTGTTAGAATTACAGTGACTTCAGCTCTCTCTTGGACTCAGAACCTCAGAACCCCCAGTTCTGCTTCTCGTCGGGTGGGCGGCACTCACACAGCTAAGGTGGCCTTGAAGGGGAGCTATCCAGGCAACCAGATCTGTTGTGAACCAGCTGGTCCTGCAATATTTATGGAATAGTTCATGACTCTTTTCTGAATGAATTGCATTATATATCAAACCACTACTTAGGACAGGATATATTTATGCTTCTCTTAGCCATATTCAGGAAGCACTAAAGAGGTCTTCGCCTTTCTTGCACATTTCTTAGATTTATTTTTAGAGTCACAAAAACAGATCTCAGAGATGAGTGCAATGCTCTGACCTTCCTCCTATCTATCCCACTACACTCTGAATCATCTATCTCATTCAAGGACGGAATTCAGACATGTAAATATAACAATTCGAGAGAAGCATTTAAGTAACTTACTTCTTCAGGAAAATTACTATAAATCATCGATCAACATGGGAAATTGGTAAACAAGATTTTGTCCTAATGGTTAGAATGGCTCCAACAGGCATTTCCCCAAAGAGTCATCATGCCCCCCATCTACTGCAGATGGTCATATCACACCCTACCATCCTCCTCCTCCTCATCCCCTTTGAGGGAATTAAAGCTTATTGGAACCAGTCAACAAAGAAGAGCACAACACTGGCTGAAAAAGAAAGATAAATTCAGGTTGATAATTTGCTAACAAAAAAAAGAGATTCTAAGAAACAGCAAAATTCCTGGCTGCCAAGGTCAAGCTTTTAGATCCCATTAACCCCCCTATTTTAAAATCAAAGTCTATCATATCATATCCAAGCTCATGTGGACTTTCTTCAGTGCAGAAATAAGAGTGCATTTGAGCATTCTCAAAGTAACTCTCGGAGCATTGTATCAAATGTATATGAAACATACTCCTCCATTCCAAATGTAAGGGGGGAAAGGCATTTCATTGCAAATACATTCCACATTCACTTGATTTAATTTAATCATTCTAGATGAATTCATATTTGCCCTGCCTTGGAAGAGACTCGGGGATATTCTACACACAGCATTACCAATATTGAAAAATGTGCATGTTAGTAGGTTAATTGGTTTCAACGGGCTTTCACATCCTTGTAACCCAGCCTCGTTTATTATTTTCTGCCAAATTCTCTTGGAAGTCCGAGTCCACGGGCACAGCCGGCCTCCCTCGCGCCGCCCCGCACTTCCTAGAAGCCTTCGGCGCCCTGCTCGCTCCCGGGATGCCCGCCCCGCGAGGAGCGTCCAGCGGGAGGGCGGCCCACCCAGCCCACGCGCCAAGCCCCCTCGAATGCTCGGACCGTTCCAGCCCCTCCTAAGCTCAGGAAGGCTGGTCGCAGGCCGCGGGGAGGCGGCTGCCCTCTCGGCCTCTGGCCGCCTCGCCAGGGCCCTGAAGGGTGGAAGAAAGAAAGTGCTGAGTGCCTGGCACTGAGCCCGCCATCACCCAACTCCCACCCCCGTCCCCCTGAACACACGCGGGGTCTAGCGGGGCACGGAGCAGGGGCCACCCGGACCTTGGACACCTCGCCCGGGACGCTCGGGGCTGGATCCTCCGCGCGGCCACCGCCGGCACCGAGACCACCCGCTAGTGGAGAGTGGCTCACCCCGGACCCGGGGGGTCGCCCCTCTGGGTGACCAGTGGTCCTAGCAGGAGTACCGGGGCTTGGATGGCGGCCAGGCCCCGGGGCGGCGCGACCCGAGAGCCCCGAGAGCCCCAGGCTGGCACGGCTGGAGGACCTGGGTGGGCAGGGAAGTGGCGTCTGCAAGGTCCGCCAGGGTCCGCGTCTACGTGGACCTAGAGGCCGGCTCCATCCCCTTCCCAACGCGGCAGAAGCTGGCGTCCGGCACGCGGGAGTCCGCGCCCGGCAGCGCTCCGGGCCAGCGAGGAGAGGCTGCGGGTCCCGGGACGGCGCCCCGCCCCGCGCCCGCCACGTCCGCTCACCTGGCAGTTGGCGCCCGAGACCCCGGCGGGGCAGGTGCAGAGATAGCTGGGCTCGCCGGCGGCCGCGGGGGACGAGGGGTCGGGCGCGGGGCGCGGGGTGCACACGCCCCCGTTCCGGCAGGGCTGCGCGGCGCACGCCCCCGGGGAGGGCAGCGGCTCGGCGGGCACCGGGCTGGCCCGGCAGCCGCCGCGGGGCCCCGCGCCGAGCAGCAGCAGCAGCAGCAGGGCCGGCGCGGGCAGCAGCGGCACTCGGGGCGCCGGGGCGCGGCGGGGCGGCATGGCTGACCGAGGGCGCGGAGCGGAGCGGGGCCGGAGCGCGTGGCGGCGGTGGCTGCGGGAGCGGCGGTGGCGGCGAGGGCTGCTCCGCGGGGCCTGGCGGCTCCTGCAGCTGCGGGAACCGTGGTTCCCGGGGCAACGACGGGCGGGGCAAACGGGAGGCGGGGCGAAACGAGGCGGGGCTCCGGGCGGGAGCTGGCGAAGGAGAAAAGGGGCGTGGGACCCTCCCCCCGCGCGGAGCTGGGGCCTGAGGGGCAGGCGGCCTCCCCGGGCCCCAGGTGTGAGGGTGGGTGCGCCCTAAGGAACCGGAGCGGGCAGGCCGGCCGCTGGGCGGTGCTCGGGAAAGGAAAGGGCCGGAGGGGGTCAGTGCCGGCCGAGGGGGGGACTTTTCCGGGCCTCCAGGTGCTGAGCGGCGGTGCGTCCCCCGTGGGTTGAGCAGGGGCCGGGGGTTCACTGCGCAGCGAAGAGGGCACGGCCCGGGCTCGCAGCCGCCACCCTCTGCCCCCTGGCGCAGAGCCCAGGAGACCGCAGCAGGGACCGGCGTCACTCGTTCCCGGGGCAGCCCCTCACGACCCTCCCCGGCACACAGCCCGCCCCCACACCGCCGACCAGCCGGGCTGCCTGGGAAGTGACCTTGTGTCCGCTCAGCTGCCCCGGGGCCCTTGTCCTTGGTGCTGACCGGGGAGTCTCCCTCCTCGCGGCCGGGCCCGACCTCGCTCGCCACTCAGAAAGGTCTGACTGTGGCTCGTGGGCGCTGCAAGAGACCTCAGAACCAGTGTCCAATCCTGCCGTTGATCCGAGGAGGACACTGAGGCCCAGACGGGCTGGACCGGAACCCAGTGTGTCACTTGACTCCCAGCCCAGTGCTCCCAGAAGTGCAGGCTCCCAAAGGCCCTGCCAGGGTTCCCCCAGCGCTCTGTGGACAGGGACCGTGGCCGCGCCCTGCGCGGGTGGGGCGGCGGGCGAGGGGCTCTGCAGACGTCGGGGCCAGGCCGATCCTGCTCGCACAGCCACGGAGCTCAAGTTCTGCGGAGCAGACGCCGCTCACCTTGTCTCTGCCGGCTGACCTTTCCCAGCCTCCACTACGTTTAGGCTCCCAGGTACTTGATTTTTAAAGATGGCCACGTGAGAACAAAATGTGACTCTCTTGGGTCGACAGTTTGGGCAAATTTCTTAGGGCACCCAAGAATTGTTTTGTAAAAGCTGGCAAATAAGAAACATGAACCTAGGCGTGCAGGTGGCAGGCGAGCAGGCAGAGGCTGCTCAGTCTCCAGAGGCACGGGAGGCAGGCTCCCACCCTCCTCCAGCCCTGCTGGGACGCGGGAGCCAATGTCAGACATTTGTGCTTTAGGAGACGCCGAAGATTCTTGTGGCCTTTTCACAAGGTCACTGAACCCCGGCCGGGCCTGCATGCAGCAGGGGAGCTCATCTCCCCAAGCGGATCCAAACCTTTTGTCCGCTTTCCCTCACACCTGCTGTCCTTTATCTGAGACCTCCTCTTTTGTAAAAATCCTGATTTTGTGCCACGCCAGCACCCTCTGCTGGCACTAGCCTCATCATTCAGCTGTTCCACTTTCTGTGCGGGAGGAGCATGTATTCTTTCTTGGCACTAACTTCTCTTATCTTAAATCCCCGATAATGGCCTAGTGCTCACTCCCTCCCATCAACACACACGAAACAAAATGAAGTGTAAGAAAGATTGGGGGGAGGGTGAAGGGAATCTAATATATGACAACCAAGGATGATTTGACTTAGAGTGGCCGTCACACCCTGCAATATTCCCATGTTGTAACATAGAAACTCACCCCCGAAACCTATTAACAATATCACCCCAATAAATTTAAATTTAAAAATCAATAAATTATTCTTCAAAAAATAAATATAAAAAAGTGTTGTGAGCTCATTAAAATTGAAATTCAGTTTATTTTTGCCTCGCAACCTTCTTGAGTATGGATTTCATATCATTTCAAAATATGGAAGAACAGTGGTTTTATTTTCTGAAGGCCAATTTCTGAATGTTAAAGATGATGTTCAGCTTTTTTTTTAAGTATCCTATCTTTAATCTTTAAAAGGCATATTATGGAAGAGAGCATACAAGACCATTTTGTTTTTCTCCAAGCTGGAAAGGAATACTACATCTCTTGCCCCTTATTTATAGGTGGAACCATGCGATTTAGACACCAGAACATGGCATTGCATGCCCTGGCCCCAAATACCCCCACACTAAATACCAGGCGAGTGTTTGCTGCGGTTATTGCTGTGGTCGCTCTCAGAGAAGTGGGCCTCTTCTGTGGTTCTGAAGACTGATTTGGTACTTGGCTGACAGCTTTCAACCATCTGCAAGACCTCCCTGCGTTGGAGAAGGTCCTTGAGAGGATGTGCTGGCAGGTTGACCCATGAGCTGGACCTAGGCATTGGAAGTTCCTAACCCCCCTGTCCTTGCATTGGAATGTACTGGTCCAGCCCACTGTTCCCATAGCCAGAGCTGTTCCAAGGATGTAGCCCGGAGAAAGTAAGGTATTACTGAGACCGTCTAGCCTGAATACATATGATGGAGCCCCATTCCAGCCTCTAGGTAAACTTTAAGATTCTGGCAGGATGGTGTAGAGATCTGTTCATCTTGTGCCATCTGAGGACAAGTCTTGTCTGTAAGTTCCCCTGTTTATTACACCTGTCACCTACCCATCTGGAGTGGTCTGCCTCTTTCTGCAGTCTCTCCTTACCCGCCGTGTATGGGGTCAGTTTCAGATTTCACCAGGGAAGCTCCAGATTGCTAATTGTGAACCCTGCTTTCTAGAGCTCTCAAGAGAAGTAAATGAGATGATCGTGGTGATATGTCGAGTACGTACAGTGTGCCTGGCACTGATATGAGTATATGTTACATATTATCTCATTAACCCAATTGCCAGAGATAGAAACCATGAGTTGTACTCAAATAAGAGAAAATTAAGGTGCATTGAGGTTAAGTAAAAGATCTAAAGTTACCCCACTTCCAAGGAGAGTGGCTGGGCCTCAAAAATAGAAGGGGGTCTGGCTGAAGAGCCTGTACTTTGAACCTCAATTTTGTATCTGCCATATGAACCTCCTACAGTGCAGCATCTGATACATAGTAGATATGATAGGCAGGTAGATGAATGGAGAGATAGATATAGATATAACATATATCTACATATACATATGTAATATGCATATGATATATGTCATATCTACATGTAGATGTGTTTTATATGTCATATGTATCAGAGATGTGCGATGTATCTTACGTGTGTATGATGCATGTACTGTGAGTATGTATAATCCATGTATCATATATACATGTGAATGAATTCATGGCATAATACAAACACCTGCTGGGTTTTGGTTTATTGTTGGGCGAGGCACTGGAAGGTTTTAATTTCTTTGCTCACTTGCTTTCTTTATATATATATATATATATTTTTAATCCTCACCTGAGGATATTTTTCCATTTTTTGTACAGATAGAGTGGGAGGAAGAGAGAGGAAGGGAGAGAGAGAGAGAAACATTGACGTGAAGGGACACATCGAGTGGCTGCCACGCGCACGACCAACCAGGGCCGGGGACAAACTGCAACCGAAGTACGTGCCCTTAGCGGGAACCGAACCCGGGTCTCTCCGGACCGCAGGCCGACGCTCTAACCGCTGAGCCAAACTGGCCAGGGCTTGCTTTCTTTATAAAGTGCACCACCGCTCCTGGCTGCAGAACTGTGGGGTGTGAACATGGGATGGGACTCTCAATCTCTGAGGAAGAAGATGAGCATTGAGGAAGTTCATCACTACTCCAGGCTGGGTGGCCCAGAACCGGAACAAGACCCCAGTTCTCCAAATTCCACAGCTGAGGTTCTTTCCACTTCCCCGCAGTGCCTCGCCCCCACTCCCAATAGTTCCTACATAAGAGGCAATAAAATCAAAAGGCAGTGTAAAAATATAACGACTAAGTACGTGGGAGTATTAAGTGTCTTTTAAGAATCTTCCTAAAGAATACATGTGAGTGCATACATTCTAGCCACAAGCAGCAGAACTGCTATCTTATTCCTTGAATTAGTAGCACCCTTTTCAAATTAGTCACTGAGACTTGGCCAGTTTGACTCAGTGGTTAGAGTGTTGGCTGGCAAACCAAAGGGTCGTGGGTTCAATTCCCAGTCAAGGGCATGTACCTGGGTTGCAGGTTCCATCCCTGGCCCAGTTGGGGTCTTACAGGAGGCAACCAATAGATGTGTCTTTCTCATATAGATGTTTCTCTCTCTTTCCCTTTCTCTCTCTCTCTCCCCCTCCTCCCTCCCATTCTCCCTCTCTTTCACTCTCTCTAAAAAAAAAAAAAAAAAAAAAATCAATGGACAAAATATCCTCGGGTGAGGATTTAACATTTTTTTTTTAAATAAATAAAAATAAAATAAAATGAGTCATTGAAGTGTTTAGCATATGCGTCCAGGTTACTCTGAATTGTCATGCACTATCCCTAAGCGCCGCGTTTAAGTGAGTCTGCATTTACTTTCTTCCCCTCCACTTGCTCTGATTTGAGTTAAACCCCTGTTCCAGCAGCTGTTTAAAGCAGTTTTAATTTCTTTGACATTATCACTCCGGCAGCTATTTGGTCGAGGGCAGGTTTAAGTGAGCAGTGGTGAGTACAGACACAGCAAAGACACCTGTCTCCCCTGTTTGAATAGTTTATGAAGCGCTGAACTGCCGCAGGTGAAAATCAGACCTTTTCACCCAGACTCCTGAGAGCACGGGAACTGTGTTCAAGTCGATACCTGTCTTCAGCTCCTACTTCTTGGTACTCGGAGGAATGTACCGCTGCCTGCAGGAGGGTTTCCACCCAGAATCCACTCCTGGGGCTTGAAAGTGAGGAGGTGCCACCCGAGAACTCTCCGTGGCTCCTGAACTCACTGTCAGAGGGCAAACCTCCAGCTGGGCAAGAGCAGTAGCTCCTGGAGCCTCAGTTAGCAACACTGTGCTGGAGACTTAAAATTTGCTACGCGGGTA